AACCAAGTATAAATTAAAATTGTGTAACACATTCAATTTTTGTAAGTTGAACTGCATCCTAAGTGCACTAGGCAAGCTTTCTATTTAAAGGACCCCTTTGATGGACACTTTCGTAATGTGGAAAATTAATTCCAAATGAATCTGTTTCACAGCTCCAATCTCTGGATCTCTGGTTTTCTTCCCCTGGACAGCTATTTAGGTCACCGCATTCTATTCTCAGAGCCCAGCCCTGCACAAACACTAATTGGTTTTCACATCTGAAAGGTTGTGTATCACTTTGTCGTTTCTAAATTTACATGATGTAATCCATGTACAAGATGGGAGATTTCATACCCTGTGGGAGGAGCAAGTGCCACATGCTTCGTTTTCCAAATATATCTAGAGACACAAAATATTTTAAAAGAGGCAGAACTTCAGGAGTGCCTTTCTCAAACTCAGACTTCACCAATCTGTGGTTTCAGCAGGAATTAGTGAATGCCTATTATCTGTGGAGAAAATATCTGACAAAATTTCCCACCTTGGTGCTTATTTTATTAAGGAAAATAATAATTAAAAACAAATGTGGAAACAAACAACCACCAAACCCCCCACCGAATCAGACATTACAAAACTACAGGCTGTAAACTTCATAACTCAAACATTGAAAAATAAATGCACCATTTTTAAGACTTTGTTGAGGGCTCTGAGACTTCAAATTGGGAACATACATTAGTCAGAATAATGTGTCTAATCTAGTTCCCATGTTTTAAAGACGTAATAACTAAAAATTACACCTTGTGTGATTGTAATGAATTGGAATGCTTCTTAGATCAGAGGCAGCTAGCACATTGCAAGGACTTTTGGGAGAGACCACACCGGTATTCAGCCTTCAGGATGGTCTCCTTGGTCACAGCTGCTGTTTTACCATTGTTCTCATGTTCCTCTTTCATTTAACCCATCAGTTGCATCGGAGTGACTAGTAGGTTGGATTGTAGCATCTCCTCTAGCATGCTTCTCATGCTTGGATGTACATTGGACTCACCTGGGAAACTTTAAAAGATTCTGACGTCTGAATACACCCCATAAATTCTGGGTTAATTGGTCCTAGGCACAGGTGCTTATAAAAGCTCCCCAGGTGATTCTAATGTGCAGCCAAGGTTGAGAGCCCCTGTCTTCCAGGCTGTTAAACTCATGAACCCGCTGGATCCTTGGGCTTTTTGACTTTCAGGACCTGTGGATCTCTGGTCTCCTTTGCTCTGTCTTTCATATACACAGGATACAAAGATAGGATTGGAGGGGAGTAGCTGAATTCTTTCCCTGACCAACTTCCAGAAGAAACTGGAAGAAGTCCAGCAAATACAACAATTGGCAAAGCATATCAAGTTTCTGAAAAGTGACGTCTTCTGTGCCAGAGAAATTCAGAGGGTATAGGAGAGTCCTGGGGGAGAATTCAAGTTCCGCCCCCATAAATTTAGTAAAGTTACCCTTTCTGAGCCTTGGTTTCCTCATCTATAAAAATTGGAATACCTACTTTCTAAGGTTTACTTAAATGACTGTTCAAACTGTCTAAAATAGTGCCCAGCGTGCAGTAGAAGTACAATAGGGGTAGTCATTTAAATGGAAAGAGGAGAGAAAGTAAAGTTTATTTACTGATTGTGCTCCAAATTAAGAATAATTACAATTTACTGAGCCAATTTACCCGACTCTTTATCTACGAAACAAATATTTATTACATATTGACTTCATTCCAATCACACTGCCAGCTACTAGGGATACAGTTACAAATAAAACAGATGTGATTCCTGTCTTGGTGCACCTAACAACTTAGCTAAATGCTTGCGCTACTTCTGGGGTTGATTTCAAGCAGTCCAAAGACTGAACTTCCTAGAGGACGGTACAATGACAGACTGACCTCCAGCACACCCTTGCAGCAAATTCGCAGGGAATGCTGGGCTGTTAAGAGAAGTTTGTACCAAGTAGACAGACAAGCACGTACCAGAGTCCTATAACTGTTGTGAAGGGCCCGGGAGGGATATAAAAAAAATCTTACGAGAATATCAAAGGGAGCATCTCAAAACAAACCTTTTTTTTTTTTGCCACCTTGTTTGGGCAGTTTTAGGAGTAGTGGCATACATTCCTGGGTGTCTGAAGGCCAGAGAAGCTGCGTTCCTTCCACCCTCAACTCGTCCAGTTGGATGTCTGGTGTGTTCCTATGCTGTGTAGCTGTCGATGTATTGTAAGTCGTGTGACTTACCTACGTGATAGGAACTTGTATCCTTTGCTTGGCTCTGTTGGCATTTTTCAACCAGTCACTTATTCCTGTGACAATACTGCCCCTCCCAATAACACTCCTAAGAGATGATATTATCTGTTTTTTACATATAAGACTTAAATAACTTGCCCAAGGTCACTGAGCTGGTAAGAGGCAAAGCTGAGACTGAACCTCAGCTGTGTCTGACCTCACTGCTCATCCCCTTAACCTTTGCCTCAAGTGGACAAGCCTCGGGTGACTTGCTTTGGAAATATCAAAATCTGGCTTTTCAGAAAATTAATTTTAAAACCTCAAGTAATGAAGAAGAAGAGATGGAACTAGAAGACGATACTATGTCTGAACCGAATCTAATTTTGGCCTACGAGCCCCTTATGAAATTATGTGAGAGACCGGAATCCAATAAAGAATTGTGTCCAGTTTGCCTTGGTATCAATCAAACTTGCTGATACTTAATTTTATGACATTCTATAGATTAAAGTCTCCATGATTCAGAGTTCCATGTCTTCACAGCTGCAGCTGCAATTCTTTCCTCAGACCAGGAATATAACTACACTATAAAAGCAACAGTAGCAATTTGTAGATGGTATAAGATCTCTTGCTCACTTCAGATAATCTTTCCTGCCTTCAGTATAAAAATGTTTACTCTGATGACAGAGTGTGAGGGTATGTACGTGCATGTATGTGCGTCTAAGTGCACACGTGTAACGGCTCATGTGCAAATGCGCTGGAGCACATGTGGAAGGACAGGGATTTTAAGCCAGTCTTTCCTCATTTTCCATAGGTTGCAGTATGCACATCTGTTTAGAGCAGAGGTGGCCATATGATCCCAAGGGGTCAATCACATTCTCTCTCAGGGAAGACTGCACTTCTTCCTGACTCATTCCACGCTTTGTATCTATGCCCTTTGCCATGTGACTTTGCAGGACCTCCCACTAGGGGCTGAGTATATTTTCTTTCCCTATCAGTGTTGGACTCAGCTATGTGACTTGCCCATGGAATGTCTTAGGATGCAACTTGAGCAAAGGCTTTCAATGTGTGTGAGGCTGGGCTTGTCCTCTTAGCTTCTGAGACTTCGCCCATGAGAAGAACAGGCAAAAAAGGAGGGGGAGGGATATGTGGAACTGACTTGGATACAACCTGCAGCTTAGCATCACGCCCACCTGAAACCAGTCCACAGACACATTAGCAAGAAATAAATGCTTATGGTTGTATATCCTTGAGTTTTGGTATGGGTTTTATATAGAATTATTATGGCAATAGATAACTGATACATCTCTCCTTGAAACTTCATAATTAAACTGAGAGACAGCGAGACTGTTGGGAATAGGGGCACGTCAGTGGCAGAGCTTGCTATAGAAGAAAGCTGAACTCTTTTTTTTTTTCCTTTTTTCCTGACTTGCCCCTTTGCTTACACTTTTTTTTTTTTGGTGGCTTTTTCTTTTTCATTGAGGTGAAGTTCACATAACATAGAATTGACCATTTTAAAGTGAGCAATTCAGTGGCATTTAGTACACTCACATGTACAATATTTTGCAACCACCACCTCTATCTAATTCCAAAAAAATGTTCATTCCCCCCAAATAAAACCATGTATCCATTAAAGAGTTACTCTCAATTTCCTCCTTCCCTGCCCAGCCCCTGGCAACTACCAATCCACTTTTTGTTTTTATGGATTTACCTATTGCTATGGCCTGAATGTGTCCCCTTTCCTTCAATTTCCTGTGCTGAAGCCCTAACCCCTGTGGGACCGTATTGGAGATAGGGCCCTTAAGGAAGTGATTAAGGTTAAACAAGGTCAGGAGAGTGGAGCCCTGGATCCCATAGAACTGGTGCCTTTATAAAAAGATAAAAAGACTCCAGAGCTCTCCCTGCCATGTGAGGGTACGGTGAGAAGGTGACCATCTGTAAGTCCCACCAGAACCCAGCCATCTGGCACCCTGACCTCAGACCTCCAGCCTCCACTGTGAGAAAGTAAATTTCTGTTGTGTAAACCATCCAGTCTATGGTATTTTGCTATGATAGCCCAAAATGGACTAATACACATATTCTGGATATTCCTACAAATAGGGTCATACAATATGTAATCTTTATCCCTGGCTTCTTCCAGTTAGCAAGTTTTCAAAGTTCATCCATGGGTACCCTGTATCAGTACACCTTTCCCCTTTATGGCTGAATAATATTCTATTGTGAGGATACCACCTTTTTAATCTATTAATCAGCTGATGGATATTTGGGTCGTCTCCATCTTTTGGCTGTTGTGACTGGTGCTGCTATAAACATGTGAGTACAAGTATTTGTTGGAGTATCTGTGTTTCAGTTGGCTGGGGTATATACCTAGGAGTGGAATTCCTGGGTCATGTGGTAATTCGCAGAATGCTGAATTCTTGATGCCCAGATCCTCTAAGCTATTTCTTGATTCCCACACAAGGAACTCTTCCTTGAACTCCATAAGAAAAGCCCAGAATACTTCCAGTGCATTCCTTTCATTGCTGTAGCTAGAAAATTCTTGCTTAATCAAGAGTTAACTGCTGTTACTTGAAGCTCAGAGAACCTAAACTCACTGATAATGAAACTTACAATTTTTGGTCATAATATTAGAAGGAAAAAAAATGGGCTCCCAACTCCTCTTAACAAAGTTTGCCACAGGGGTGGTAAATCCCCAGTTGATACTAATCAGATCAGGTGACTTTCTTGACAATATTCTGGAATCTGACTCGACTGTGTGACCGCTGCTTAGAGTATCACTTACCTTTGGGACCAGGCGGCGAAGGACCTCGCATTTAGAGCGTATTCCAATTCAAAGCGGCTCCGCAGAGCTGCCACGTGGCTCCGGCCAGGCCCTCCGCGGCTCACCAGACAATCGGAAGAAGAGGAAGGCGAGAGAGACCCACTGCTGTTACTTGACGCGGGAGACATCAGCTGAGTGAAGGAGGGGCAATTTCAATCATTTAATAAACCCAACCGGCTTAAAGGCATAGCGTAGCATGTAGATTTATTTTAACTTTCTATTCTAGGATTTCTCATACTTTAATTTCTCCTCATCTCAGCTTGTTTCTGGCTTCTCCTTTCAGCCTCTGAAGGCAACACTTGGCTCGCTTAATTTACTTTTCTAACCCAGTTCTATGCTGAAAGCTGGCCCATGAAACTTCTGCTCATGTTTCAGAAAACACAGTAGACTCAAATCAGATTCATAAAATAGATAGAAGGCTATTATTTAATGGTGAAAGGATTCTCTACATTTTTCACCATGGCAATAAGACCCGTGGCAGAGTTCCTTTAAACTGTAGCTTAAAATTATTCCCTTTACAGGAAATTATTCCCTTTACATAAAATGGATTTATACACTTTTCTAAGAGTATGGAATGGATGTATAAAACATCTATTTTATAAAGGAAGGATGTTTTAATGCCTGGCAAGCATGAGGACTAAATAGAGTTGTTGTAAGAGAACTTTTAAAAATAGTTACAAATAGCTCCGTATGGTTAGAAAATAGAAGAGTGTGAGGAAAGAAAATGAGATAGAGAAGAGGAAAAATAGGAGAGCGGTTTTCTTGAATTTTTGACAGCCTTGCTGTTTATGCACTCCACCTAACACAAGTGAGAACATCGGTGCTTTTGACATTATAATTTCGTAAGACACGTAGACAGGAGATTTCGGTTTTAAAAAGTAATGTATGCAAATTCTAGACTCTTTGTAGTCAAGCCAAGACATTTCAAAGTAAAGCTCTGAGAATCATATGAGGTCAGTGTTGAAATGAACCTTCACACTCTTCAATCATTTAATCTGTTCTGTGCACCCTTTTCATGTTGGCTCTGCAAGCTGACGGGAAGCCTCCAGCGATGGGAAAACCACTCCTTCCAGATCCATTCATTTATCTTAGGACAGCTCTGACCATCGGAAAGTTCTTCCCCATAAAAAACCAGACCTGCTACTGTACTTCTTTTCCATCTGTTGGCCCACAGAGAATGAGGCCGACCCCTTTCCATATGATAGCTCCTCAGATGTTTAAAAACAGCTGTTGGACTCATTCTAATTTTCTCTTCTCTAGGACAAGCATTCTTGGTTCCTCTCATTGGTTCTCACATGCATGAGTTTCAATCTAGTCACCATTCTGATCTCTCGTCCCTAAAATTTGTGTTCCAGTTTTAATTATCCCTTTAAAAGGACGTAACTGGCCGCTGTTTTGTTTGGCCATCTCAGAAGAGAGAGGAACGATAACGTTCTTTATTCTGTAGCGAAACAGATAACTTCATATTCTAACTCCCAAGAGCTGATTATCCATTAACTTTCATGCTGCCCCCAAGTCACATCGCCACCATTTGACTTTTTTTCTTTTTACTATTATTTCTTTGACTCTACTGCATGATGTTGTATTTGTCCCTATTGAATTTATCCTTGTTAGACATGCCCTATTACTTTATCCTCCCAAATATGCTAGAATCCTGCTTTCAAATGCTTGTTGTCTCCGTTTTATTATATCTACAAATGTGATGAGCAGAGTCCTCCTGACCTTGGTCTAAACCATTGACTAAAATGTTGAAGAGTAGAGAGGACAGAGCCTTATGGAACTCCACAATTTAAGCCCCTTAAAGCTGAGTCTAGTCCATTAATTAGCACAACACAGTCCAGTAAGTTCTCTTTGCATCTAGCCTGCAGTCATTCATTTCTCCACCAGGGGAGACTGTCCTGAGAGGCTTGGTCAATAGAACAAGACTAGCTAGTTTAGCAGATCCTGCCATTGTCCCTGTTTCTGAAACTCCCTCTCTGATCAAATTGGATATATCCCAGGCTTGGAGGCTTGGAGGCTTGGAGCAGCCTTGTCCTGTCAAACACAGAGGTTCAAAGTGAGAGGATACTTGGAACTCATGCCTTAAAAGCATCTCTCAACATCCCAGGTGGCTGGCAGATGCTCTTGCTGGTAGGGGCTGCTGCAGCCCCACCAGATAGATTTCTACTTCTCTCGCCTTGGTATGTTTCAGGACTGAAGAGAAGAGGAAGGAAGTTCTACATCTAAAGACTAAAGCTTCTATATAAGAAGATTGCTCTTTATAAGTTCCAGTAAAGAGTCACGAGACAGAGCCACTCACTACAGGCAGCAACTGCAGCCCTGGGACACTTCCCCAAAAGATTAGGTTCCAGTCACTCTTAGTCAAGACTTTTTTTTTAAGGCAAGAAAACTTTGCTTGGATGGTCCCCCTTGGGGATTCAGTTGTGCAGGCTGATGTGGTTTCCCCCGACTTTTGCTCCTTCCCTTCACACGCACGTATATGTCATGTCCATCCCTCTCCCCCGTAGCACTTGTTTGCATTTGGGAATACATTGTTATTTTTGAATTAGTGCTCATGTTTCGGCTCCCTGGCCTATTGTTAAATGCTATCTCCCGAACAGGTGTATAGAAAATTAAGGCAATTATAGAGAAAATTAAAGCAAACAGCTCCTTGATATTAAGGAAAGAAATTTCCATTAGCCTCATTACCAACATATATCACTTTACATAATGCATGTGTGGTATAAAAGCACAGCCTCCCCGTTAATTTATGCACTAACTTTAGTAATAATTTTTCTCCTGTTCTTATTGAACAGAAATGGACAATGGCTTAACAGTTTAGCTAATATTTCGTTGTATGTAGGAACTTTTGCATAGAAAAAACTGATTTAAATAATTACCTTTTAACATATTTGTTATATTTTCAAAATTTTACATATCGATTTTTTAAACTGCACGCCCATGTCCATTTGCCTGCCTCATTACTTGTTGAAAGGGCCCAAATTTACTCTGAATTTGCCTTTGCTGCTAAAGATGCAGTCAATTCTGCTCCCCCCTAGGAACTTAATTAACAGGGTAAAAATGTGAATGGAGTTATGGATTCTCACACTTTCTTTCCTTAACTCCATTCCCCAACCACTTCGGACATTCCAGCCTGTTGAATGGACAGATTTCAGAAGCTAAAGTTCTTACCTCAATGTTGCACAGACACTCTTCTAACTTGGTAACAACTTCAGAAAATTCCGGTCTTCCCTGTAAATAAAGAAAATACTTTTTTTTCTTCCCCGAAAGAATAAAAGGGAAGCAACTCTCTTTGGATTTTAAAATTGGGTATTTGCATTCATAAGGAATGAGATTAACAATAAAGTATATTTTTATTTAAAATACATTTGCATTGAAGTGTTAATTGAATGTTCATTTGCTGCTCAGGGAGGGATGTTGAGTCTTCCTCTGATAAGAGTTTTAAGTCAGAATTTGCAACTACATTCAGATAATGAAATAGTGGAAAAGCTTTAATTAGCTTTGCATGCTTTTAAACGGCAGGTTTTCCTCTTCAAAATGAAAGAATAAAAGTGAATACTACAAACTATTAACTATGTCAGTGCCTTACACTGTGCAATGTGTCGGTGGGAAAAGAACTGCTAAGGCTCATTTTACAATAACTTCACTTTTGGAAATGCCATCTCAGATTCAGAACTAAGATCAATAGAAACCTCACGACTATGCCCTACTTTAGGAGTGAAGATAAGCTTTTTGTCTTCGAAAACTGTCATTAACAATATTGTCCATTATGAGCCTCCGAGTTAGATCAGTCTGGTTGAACAAACATTGATTGTATTCCGATTCTGTTCCCGGCTTTGTTCTAGTTGCTAGGGATATGAAAATGATAATGGATCTATGGAAGAAATTCTTGGAATTTCAGAAAATGTTGGTCTCTTTGGAAGAAATTATATGCCTCCTTTTGTCAGGTCCTAAGGACTACATAACCTATCATTTCTCCCTTTATGAAACTTTCACTGCCAGGAGGTGGATGGCCCAATTTAACATTCAGGTGCAGTAACCAACTAATCTCGATTCTTAGCAGAACAATTTCTCCCTTAATATCTAGCCCTCCCCTGAGGACACTGCTTCCCCCAGAGCTCTCTCAAGAGGAGGCTGTTTCCTCTCACGTTATTCCCTGTACATCTAGGTGGGTGGGGCAGCAGTGGGTAAGTGGGGCTCTGTGTCTTTCTTACTGACATTACAACTTTCCCATGCTTTCTCCTCTGAAAACCACCAGTTTATCAAGCTATTCCACTGAGTTACCCTCCCTCATTCTTTGCAGGTGATAGCGTCTGGCTCACTACTCTCAGTGCTTCTGTGACCTGTGCAGGTCATCGTTAAGGTGGCCTGACCTCTGGGTTCCTGCATCCCCTCTTCTGCAATGATCTTATCCTCCACCTTCCCTGAGTCGCTTAGCTCCCTGGTCATTCACACCCTCGACCCTGTTATTCGCAAAGCCTGCAGCTCCTCTGTGCTAGCCATCCTCACGGTTTCCGTCAGGTCACTCTCTGGGCTCTGCTGTGTTTTCTTTCTAGCTCGCTTCTTTTAGAACCCAGACTCTAATCATCTTTGACCACACAAACAATCTTACCACTAAACCCCCTACCCCAGCTTTTTATTGTGAAGATTTTCAAATACACCCTACAGCAGAGGGGAATAGTACAATAAATCCCCATACATATACCACTCAGCCTTAAAAACCATGTTTGCTAATACTCTACTGTTCTATTTATCTATCCTACTGTCTTTTCAGTGTCATCCACTCACCTCATTTCCTCCCTTATTAGCTTAGACTTCATTGGCAATCATATTCACTCGCTTCCACACAGCCTCTACTCCTCTGCCTTATCATACATTTTGTACAAAATTGAAAAAAATCCCAGTCTCTATTAATCCATCCTGACTGGTCTTACTTCAAAATCATTACCCTCAGACCTCAAGTGGACCTTCAGTATGTCCTAGAGAGCTTACTTCTAGCTCATTCACTCTGTCAACACTCTAGATGGTCGTTTCGCACCTTCTCCTCTTTCCTCAAACCTCTAGTTCCCACTACTCCAACCACCACCCACCTATGCTTAAAGCACACAGTCTGCCCTCACTCCCTTTCCTGTAGGTGCACGCTACCTGATTCCATCTGGGGCCAGCTCCTTCACTGGGTACTAAATCGCATCCTTGGTAATCTACTCAAGGACGCTGCCTGAGCAATAATTCTCCCCTCTATTTTTTTTTGCATCATCAGTGTTCCCTTTCTATTGTTTAATCTCATCAACGTACAGACAGAGAAATGCTTTCATCTTAAAAACAAATAACAAAGCAAAACAAAAAAACCTCTTGACTCTGCTTCTTCCTTAACCTACTCTTCTATTCCTCTGTTTACCACAATTGCTCTAAAGAGTTGTCTGAATTTGCAGTCTCTTATTCTGTCCCTTCCATTTGTTCTCTACCCCAATCAGGCTCACTCCTATAATACCCTGCTGAAAGCCCTCTTGTCAAGGACACAAAGACACACCTCCTTACTGCTAAATTCAATGCTCATTTTACTTGGCACAGCATTAAATGCAAATAATCATTCCTTTGTCCCTGAAACAGTCTTCAACTGGATTTAAGGTCACTGTTTTCTCATCATTTTCCTCCTCTCTCACTTGCTATTTCCCAGTCTCCTCTTGGTTTCATGTCTCTGCTTTATCTTTAAATTTTAAATTGCACCAGATCTCCCTCTGTTGGTCTCCTCTCTTTTCTATTTAGAGTTAATTTGTTGAGGGTTTAATTCAGTCTCATGGTTTAAAAAAAAAACTTCTAAATATCTATATCCAGCCCAGTACTCTTTCTTGAACTCTAGCTCACACAGGCAACTTCTTGTATTTATCGTCTTCTCTGCTTCAGTAAATGGCAACTCCATCCTGTCACTTGCAGAAGCCAAAAACCATAGGATAATCTCCGAATTCTCTCTTTGTCACACTCTTGCTTCTAATCCACCAGCAAACCATATTTATTCTGCTTTCAAAATATATCCAGAATCTGAGTGGACAAGTAGCATTTATATTGGATTAACCCTCCCCAGATAACAACTGTAAACTCCAAACAAAATATAAAAGACAGCAACCTGAAAGCAGCATAGTGTGAACAGAAGCAGGCAGATTTGGGAGGAGGATACAGAAGAAACGAAGGCCATGGGAGTAGATTGCTCATCTTTTATTTTTTTACAATATGTACTGTAAGGGCAGATCCTGTCTACATATTAGGGAGCAATTAAAATTCTGATTGAAAGCCTGCAGGTTTTCTTGCTCTGAAGAACCAGAGGACAGAATTCAGAGCAACCAGAGTAGAGTGTATTAGCTATGGCTTTGTAACAAATTGTCTTAAATTTAGTGGCTTTAAACAACATCCATTTGTTATCTCACAGTTTCCATGGGTCAGCACAGGTTAAACAGGTCCTTGGCTCAGGGCCTCACCAGATTAAAATCACAGTTGTCAGCCGGCACCACGATTCTCATCTGAGGCTCAGAGGCCTCTTCCAACCTCACTCATTATTGGAAGAATTCATTTCCTTGTGGTCGTATGACTCAGGTCCCTGTTTTCTTGCCAACTCTTGTTCAGGGGTGACTCTCAGCTTCCAGACGATGCCCACCGTTCCTTGCCACCTGGCCCCTATAAGCATTCACAACATGGCTGTTTGCTTTCTCTCTGGCCAGCAAAGGCATGTTTCTCTAAACTTTCTCCTCGGTGACCAACTGGAGAAAAATTCTCTGCTTTCAAAGGGCTCATCTGATTAGGTCACACCTACTCTGGATAATCTTTGTTTTGCTATAGGAGGAAACATAATGACGAGAGTAATATCTTGTCTCATTCACAGGTTCTGCCCACACTCAGAGGGAGGGGATTATTCTTGCCATGTACACCGGGGGCAGGAATCTTGGGGGCCACCCTAGAATCCTGCTTATCACACATAGGTGCTAGGAAATGAGCAGAGATCCTGGAAGAAGGGATCTGGGAGAGGGAGCCCCAGAACCTGCATATAAACCCGGCCTGATTCTCTGGCTGACCTTGGAACCACACAACGCCCAGGGCAGGCTCTAAGCAGCCCGGGTAGGCTAAAAGAAGTGAACTCAGATGAGACTTTTTGGCCAGTGCAGGACATTGTTCTTACTGTCTTCTCAGACCAGAAAGATCTCTTACTCTCTGCCTGTGGAAATCCTCTGCCCTCTTCAAGCCCAACTCACTAGACACATCCTCCTTAAAGTGTCCAAGGATTTTACAAAATAACTTTTCCCCTTTATTTAGATTTAATCCATTCTTTTTCTTGTATTACACATAGGTATTTACACATCTATATCACTAGCTAGAACTTGCTTTGAGGGTAAGCAAAGGTCTCTTTACTTCTGTATACCTAGCATGTTTCATCACATAGGATAGCTTAGTTGAGCTCAATTTTTTATATTAAATTGCATCATGATCATAAAAAATTATCCAGAATCTGACTACCTCTCGTGTCTAAACCAAGATCACTTCTTTTTTGTATAATTATAATTTCCTTCTAATTACTTTTATTGCTTCTATTCTTTGCCTATTAAAAAATATGTTCCCAACCCAATAGCCAATCCATAGCTACCATCATACTCAGTAGGGAAAGTCTGAAAGCTTTTCCTCTAAGATCAGAAACAAGACAAGGATGCCCACTCTTACCACTTTTATTCAACATAGTATAGGAAGTCCTAGCCACAGTAATTGGGTAAGAAAAAGAAATAATAGGCACCCAAATTTGAAAAGAAGAAGTAAAACTCACTATTTTTGCAGATAAAATGAAATTACATATAGAAAACCCTGAAGACTCCACTAAAGGGAACTTTTAGAATGAATAAATAAATTCAATAAAGTTGCAGGATACAAAATCAATAAACAAAAATCTGTTGTGCTTCTATACACTAATAATGAATTATCAGAAAGAGAAATGAAGAAAACAATTCCATTTACAATGCATCAAAAAAGAATAAAATGCCTAAGAGTAAATTTAATCAAGGAAGTGAAAGACCTGTACACTGAAAACTATAAGTCATGGAGAAGGAAACTGAAGAAGACACAAATAAATGGAAAGCTACTCCATGCTCACAGATTGGAAGAGTTAATATTGTTGCAATGTTCATACAACCCAAGCTGTGTGACTTTGGATGGTTTATTAACCATTCTGAGCTTCAGTTTTCCCAGCCACAAAT